TGTTCCTTGTTCATCCAAGCGAATGCTGGATTGGTCTATTGATCAATTAAACAAAATGAAAAAGTAATAAATATCCCTGGTGTGTTCATGTCATTAGCTGTATTTAGTTCATAATAAAACCATATTCGGAGCAACAAAATTAGTCACTATTTCACAAATTAAGTGCATGATTGTCGTTCATAATTACCTGCACTATTCTGAAAGGTAACCACCACTAATGTCAAATAGAGACATAACCAGTAAGCATGCAAATTACAATAAAAACCTTCACGCCTACACACAATAAATTATTCACAGACAACTATCGTTCGTGCTCACTGGTTCATCTCACTCCAGTGTGGACTGTGAGTTATAGAATTACAGTGATTTCTAAGTGAGATCTAAAGTGAAAGTAAACATTTCACCAGTTTTGTTATTTTTTATCTATTTTATTGGGATGTCATTTGCAATGTTAATTACAAGTGAAGTCAAACAACCCGTGAAATATATATACACTGATACCTAAGTAAACTCTAATTTCATTGTTTTCGTTTGTGTCTATTTGACTATCACACATTAATGGTTAAAGTTTTTTTCATGGGTTTAATGACCTCACATGGTTTTTTGAAAACCACACTAAATAAAAACTATTTTAAAATTATTTAAAAGAATTAAATTAACTTCTTATATTCTCTATCTATTTTCACTAGCGAAGGATGGTTTTCAAAAACCTGTGAAAAAATACAATTCCAATTTGCTATTTAATGGATACAAGTTCATAACTACAAATGGAAAACAAAGAAATTAAGCTTTCATTATTATTATTATTATTCATGGGCTTTTGAGGGTTAAATACTTCATTTTTTGTAGTTCCCAGCACTATCTTTACACTAGGGACTAGTCCACCAGCATCCCTTTCGACCTTTTGCTCATTTGCCTGTTGTTTTTTAATTCCTGTTTCTGTTCTCATTGCTTATTGTCATTGGATTATTCACATCAAGCTGTCTTACACTAAATGTTCTGCTTAAAAGTGTGTCACTTAATYAATTAACTCTTTCAATCAATGCTTTAAGTCCCAGGCTTAATGCACTCCCCAGTGCCATACCCAATGTCATACTAAGTACTCCAAGGTATCCTACAGTCTCTTTTGCTTTACCRGGTACATCTATTGATGCATGAGACATTAAGGATGTGTTCAAATGTCCAGTTGAGAGCCCCAATAGGCCAACAAACGTCGCCATCCAGGCCGGGCGTCGACTTAACATGTAGGGAGGAACRCTAAGACATATACCTATAACCARTGAAAATCGTACAAACGTGGAGAGCCACGCCCAGCAGAGGYTATAGTTGTAGTACAAGGACATAGGGCCGCGACCAATCACATCACCTATATTGTACACCAGGACRAGAAGGACTGGGTACCAGCCATTGCCAAGGAAATCCTTTGCCATGGTTACCACCGAAGGCATCACCATAAACAGCTGTAGTTGAATTGTCATTAAAAGGAAGCAATAACAAAAAACTCGCTTGTAACTAAGAACTTTGATAGCTTCAAAGGAGAAGCAAGCAAGTCTCTTAAAAGGATGCCTTAAATCTTTATCCAAGTTGTATTTTGCTGCRCGGTAATAGTATCTTTGGAAAGCCCTGCCTTTTGTAAGTCGGATGAAAAGRCCAATAGCAATRGCRATGAAGAAAGAGGTGGCACCAAAGTAATAGTAACTGGAAATGTTCATTTTGGTAGTGGTACTTTTGGTWATAATTCGAAGGAGAGTCACAAGGAAACCACACAGACTTGCACCAAACTACAAGAATGATACAACTATTATAATAATGGTCTGCAACTACTTAGTGCTATTTTAAGTGATTCCAACTTAACAAACAGCTACATATAATGCTATATTTTACTATGACCACACTAAGGACAGTGTGTACAGAAGGGGTATGAATGGTGGCAATGACAAAGAAAAAAAGAAAAACAAAGAAATGAAAGAAAAAGAGATGGATGATGATTTATGGGTAAATATTAGATTTTGCAACATGTTAACCTGGTTTTCTGTGAAATACTGTACTTTAACTTACTGTAAAATAATTTTGCGTAAACCATGTACACTAAATTACTATTTTTAAATAGTAAAAAATATTGTGAAAGTCTTTCTTTGACTTTTTGTTGTGTACACTTCATGGGTTAAAATTAAATAAAGCAGCAGTTGAAACGAAAGAAGAGTGAACATGCTGTGAYGTCATTGTGAAATAGGGCAAATGAAACAGAGAATATGACAGGAGTTTTAAAAAGCTTACCATCAATCCCTGAGTGTACAAAGGAGGCAAAGCATGACTCGTCAATCCAAACAATGTTGACTGACAGACTGCATCTGCTAAACCCAAGACGCCCGCAACACCAAGAACAGCCCAGTAATGGGACTGTAAACATGTCGCACCACACAGCTCAAGCCTATCAAAAGCGATAAACCCCAACATCGATAATGCCATGACAGCGAAGCTATACACAATTCGCCACTTGAAACTAGATCCTCTTCCCCAAACGAGGTTGGCAAACGAACCGCAGAAGAGTAGCGGGTTGTAAATCACGTTCAGAGCGAACTCTGGTTCGCTTTTTGGGAAGATGTCGTCGAAGTAGTCCACGGCAGCGAATATGACAAATATTGGCAAAACAGTTCCCATTCCGAAGAAAACAAATTGTAGATACATAGGCAAAGTCTTTTTCTTAAGCATACTGGCTAAAGTTCGTTCTTTAGTAAGCGAAGGGCCCAATTCAGTGCCATCTTCGAGAAATAGCTCTTGTTCAGCTTCGAGGTCCGCCATGTTTTTGGCACCACTAGAGCTCATTTCGAGGCGGATGTGGTTCGTGGCCAATTCTGACACCACGGGCAATATGATGACAGAAGCTGAACAGTGAACAGATTAGATGAAACGAACGGCGAAAGCAAAAGTCGTAAATATCAATCAAAAGTCAGACATAAGCAATCATCAACAGGAGCCTKCAGGAGTATACAAGTCAACAATTACTGCAGATAAACTGAACAGCGGGTTCTCAAATACACCTGTAACACAGGGTACCCAATCTTCAAAAAGTCAAAACAATGAAAGAGGCTATATTATTAGATTAATAAACTAAACTTAAATTTGTTATCCTTTCCGCTTTCCAGA